GCGGTGAAACCCCGTCTCTACTAAAAATACAAAAAATTAGCTGGGCATGGTGACGCGTGCCTGTAATCCCAGCTACTCAGGAGGCTGAGGCAGGAGAATTGCCTGAACCCAGGAGGCGGAGGTTGCGGTGAGCCGAGATCGCGCCATTGCACTCCAGCCTGGGTAACAAGAGCGAAACTCCGTCCCCAAAAAAAAAAAAAAAAATTGTGTGTGTAGATGGGCTCTCAACTTTGTTGCCCAGGCTGGTCTCAAACTCCTGAGCTCAAGTGATCCTCCCACCTTGCCCTCCCAATGCTGGGATAACAAGCGTAAGCCACTGCACGCAGCCCAATCTGGTATTTATTTGCCCCAAGAATATTCACTGACTCATGGTTCCCTACGTTGTTATATTATTTATGCTTTTGTATAGTAAGCTCTTATAGTTTGAATATATTAAGTCTTTTCTCTTGGTCCATGTCCATTTTCAATCCATTTAACCTTAGAATGTTGACAACTCACTCACAGTTAACTAATGTTAGCTGTGGTAGAAAATACTTATTTTTACCTTTAAATAGACATACTTTTTTTTTTTTTTTCCTGGCATGCTCGGCCAGGTGAGCTTTTTTAGGAAGCCTAGAGAGGAAGAGAAGTTAGATATCCAGGCACATAGTTAGTTACAAGTGGGAGACATCTGTGCAGTTAGTGGCAGGTGAGTGTAAAGATGCTTTTATTTTATGTTTCAATATAAGTCTATAATGTACCCATCTTTTAGCATCTGCCCATCTTTGGTTTAAAAGCAGTTAGGGATGTACATTTTTGTAATTTAGTGATGTTTACAGTCTTGCGTTCTAACTATGTAATTGTTACTGACTTTGGAAACTGCCATTGGCTCATAATGAAGTTAGTAGAGTCAGAGATGGAGTCATTGTTTATCTTTTTTTTAAATCTTTTTTTCTTTTCTTTTTTTTTTTTTTTAAGATGGGGTTTCACCACGTTGGCCAGGCTGGTCTCAAACTCCTGACCTCAGGTGATCCGCCCACTTTGGCTTCTCAAAGTGCTGGGATTACAGACATGAGTCACCACACCCAGACTATCTTTTTTTTTTTTTTTTTGAAACAGAGTCTTGTTCAGTCGCCCAGGCTGGAGTGCAGTGGCATGATCTCGACTCACTGCAGCCTCCACTTTCCGGGTTCAAGTGATTCTCCTGCCTCAACCTCCCAAGTAGCTGGGACTACAGGCATGCACCACCATGCCTGGCTAATTTTTGTATTTTTGGTACAGACGGGATTTCACCATATTGGCTAGGTAGGTCTTGAACTCCCGATCTCAGGTGATCTGCCCACCTCTGCCTTTCAAAGTGCTGGAACTACAGGCGTGAACCTCCATGTCTGGCTGAGTCATCGTTTATCTTAATCTGGTACTCACCCTGGGGAAGAGATAAGAGCTGTTTGTGAGGTACACCTGGGAACTTTTTGTACACTTTTGTTTTTTTTTTTTTTATTTGCTTGTTTTTTTTTTTTTTTTTTTGACAGGCACAGAGCATAGTGATTAAGAGCCTTAGCTCAAGGCTGGGTTGAAATCTCTGCTGTGACCTAACATCACTGTGCCTCAGTTTCCTTAGCTGTAAAATGAGGATACTAGTACCTACCTCAAAGGGTTGTTAGGAGGATTAAATTAGTTAATATCTGTAAACCATTTAAATCAGTGTCTGGTACATAGTACATGCTATGTGGGTCTGTTATGAATTAATTTGTATACATTAATTTGTATCTTAATTACCTTTAAGTGAAAAGCTTGCCTTTATAAATGCATACTCGTCATGAGATTTGGCTGTACACAAGGAAGATTGCTATAGCTTCCTTTATTTCTTGCTAATGTCAAGACAACCTGAGGTCCACAAAGTAGAACCGAAAGTACTAAAGTTAATAGCAGTTCTCTTGTGATAATACTGGAGCACATATTCTGTAATAAAGTTAATTGGGGCAAACTGGGTAGAAGTCTAATTGCAAGGAGCTACATTTTTAAAATCCTGTAATCCCAATGATAGAATTTATCCTAAATAATGTAGAAGGAGGGAAAAAAACCCTAGAATTGTTTATTACACTGTTGATAATAAACAAAAGCTGGGTGTGGTGGCTCACACCTATAATCCCAGCACTTTAGGAGGCCAAGACAGGAGGATTGATTGCTTGAGTCCAGGAGCTCAAGACCAGTCTTGGCAACATAGTAAGACCGTGTCTCTACAAAAAATTAAAATGAGCCAGACACGGTGGTAGTGGATGCCACTGGAGGCTGAGGTGGGAGGACTGCTTTAGCTGGGAGGTCAAAGCCACAGTGAGGTATGTGTGCAGTGAGCTGCACTCCAGCCTGGGTGACAGAGCAAAAATGCAGAGCAAAATCCTCCCTCAGACAAACAAAAACAATAATAAGCAAAATAGCTGGAGAATATCCACAGAAGTGGAGTGGTTAAGATCCCCTCAGTGGTATATCATGTAGCATTAATTGATGATATGTAGAATATAAGGGAAAAAGAAGGTATTTTTCTTTTCTTTCCTTCTTTTTTTTGTGTGTGTATGAGACAGAGTTTCGTTCTTGTTGCCCAGGCTGGAGTGCAGTGGCACAATCTGGGCTCATCCCAACCTCTGCTTCCCAGGTTCAAGCAGTTCTCCTGCCTCAGCCTCCCGAGTAGCTGGGATTACAGGCATGTACCATCACGCCCGGCTGATTTTGTATTTTTAGTGGAGACGGGTTTCTCCATGTTGGTCAGGTTGGTCTCGAACTGCTGACCTCAGGCGATCTGCTCGCCCTGGCCTCCCAAAGTGCTGGGATTACAGGTGTGAGCCACTGCCCGGCCAAGAAGATATTTTGAAAGTATTTCAGTTGACATTTGAATACTAGGTGCCAAACTCTATACCATGCCAGAGGCCGGGGATATAAACAAGAGGAAGACAGCTTGCCCTCTGGGAGCTCTTACCAGAAGCACCCTACTGTGGTGGTATAGGTGCAGGGAAGACATAGGAGGAAGGAGATGAATTCCCCAACCTGGAAAGACTCAGGGAAAACTAAAGGAAAGAAGAAATAATTGAGACAGACCCTAAGATTTGTTGGCTAGGTAAATTGGGATAATATAGCTAACTTGGGATTAAATATTTATTATACACCCAGTATTTTGCTAAGCACTTTTCATTATTCCATTAATTCCTCTCATCCCTCTGTGGTAGGTACATGCACCATCCTAAAAACGAGTAAACTGAAACTTAAATCTGTATCTGTCTTCTAAGATTCATGTTTGAAATCACTGTATTTACTGTGGCCTCCAGCTGTGGGAAAATTCCACCTGTGGAGATGTTCATAGTTTAAGGCCATAAGAAAAAATAGTTTTGTTGGCATAAGATAATTGTTTTTTCTTGTTTTATTTATGATAACATGTGAGAGTGAGTGCCCACAGCTGAATATCTTTTGCTTATTGTTTTGAGAGACCTATCTCTGAAGGAGCTGGGTGCAGATATGGAATGGGACAGTGTTTCCTTCAACGGAGAAGATCCTGCATCATATCCTGTATTTCCGTCAGATGTTTCATTTTCCTGACTTGGGCAATGTGTAAAGATATGACAAAAAGATTGACAATTTGGGAAAACGTTTAGGAAAGAATTCAGGGACAGGATGTGACTTGGAAACTGTTGCTTAGAGTAGCAAGGTTGGATTCTTTTTGATCAACAATATAGGCTTCTCCACACTCTTACTGTGAGAATTTCTACACTATGACTTGTTACATGAGAATTCTGAGGATTAGTGCTATTTCAGCCATTTTTATGGTTCTAAAGTCAAAGGCAGCACAAGAGCCTGAGTCTCTGCCATCAGCACTGCAGAGCATCAGTACTGCAGAGCATCAGTACTGCCACCACAGTACTCATGAGAAACCTGGGGAGTGAAGCCTTGCCTGGCAGCTTTCATTTGAATCTTTTTCAAATAAGCCTTTGAATTTGGCATTTTCCAATATAGAAAGTAACTTACTACCTAGGAGGCAGTGAAACATGACATAGTTATATATAGTAAAAGGAACAAAAACCATGCAATGAGAGGATTTAAAAAAATGTATTAAGTTCATTTACTTTGTTTTTTGTTTGTTTGTTTGTTTTGAAACGGAGTTTCGCTCTTGTTACCCAGGCCAGAGTGCAATGGTGCAATCTCAGCTCACTGCAACCTTCGCCTCCCGGGTTCAAGTGACTCTCCTGCCTCAGCCTCTCGATTAGTTGGGATTACAGGCATGTGCCACCACGCCCGGCTAATTTTGTATTTTTAGTAGAGACGAGGTTTCTCCACTTCGGTCAGGCTGGTCTCCAACTCCTGACCTCAGGTGATCTGCCCACCTTGGCCTCCCAAAGTGCTGGAATTACAGGTGTGAGCCACCGTGCCTGACCCTATTTACTTTTCTATGTATAGGTTTTAGTGAAAACTGTCACTAAGCATTTTAGAGATGAAGAAAATGAAATGACTGTGTTATACACATAGGAATTGGCATTTTTTGGGTTCTCACCATCTGAAATAGTCTTAACACATAAGAGGCACTCAGTAAGTTATTTGTTGAAAGAATGAATAAAAGATGTGAAGATTATGGTTTCCTATTGATACTAATATGCCATGCTCATATAAACATACTGATGGATTGCGTGCTAAGTTTTTTTCTTCCCATGCTTCTCAAATATCGAAAGATGTTTATAAAACCCTTCTAACTCTTGAACTTGGTTCCCCTAGAAAAGCAAAAGAACTAGAATAGCTAAAACAATTTTGAAAAGGAAGGATAAAGTTGAAGGCATCACACTATCCTATTTTAAGACTTAGTTTATAGCTACAGTAATCAAGTCAGTAGTATTGGTGGAGGGACAGACAAATAGATCAATGAAGTAGAGTCTAGAAATAGACGCATACAGCTGTGGCCAACTTTTCGACATAAATACAGAGCACCTTACTAGAGAAATGATAATCTTTTCAACACACGGTGTTGGAATAATTGGACATCTATAGGCAAAAAAGTGAACCTTTGCCTAAACGTTACACTTTATACAAAAATTAACCCAAAATGAACTATAGAGTTAAATGTAAAACTATAAAACTTTTAAGAGAACACATAGGAGAAAATCTTCATGACCTAGGGTTGGAAGAAGAGTTCTTAGGCATGACATTAAAAGCATAACTGTGAAAGAAAAAAATTGGTAAATTAGACTTCAAAATTACAAACTTTTGCTGTGTGAATGGTTCTAACTAAGAAGATGGAACATGGCCATAAAATGGGAAAAAATATTTGCAAATCACATGACAAAAAACTTCAGAGGTGGCCGGGCGCGGTGGCTCAAGCCTGTAATCCCAGCACTTTGGGAGGCCGAGGCGGGTGGATCACGAGGTCAAGAGATCGAGACCATCCTGGTCAACATGGTGAAACCCCGTCTCTACTAAAAATACAAAAAATTAGCTGGGCATGATGGTGCGTGCCTGTAATCCCAGCTACTCAGGAGGCTGAGGCAGGAGAATTGCCTGAACCCAGGAGGCGGAGGTTGCGGTGAGCCAAGATCGCGCCATTGCACTCCAGCCTGGGTAACAAGAGCGAGACTCCGTCTCAAAAAAAAAAAAAAAAAAAAGAACTTCAGAGTAAGGAGCTTGCTAAACTCAACACTAAAAAAAAATTCACTTGGAAAATAAGTTGTAATTTCAGCATTTTGGGAGACCAAAGAGGGAGGATTGCCACCACACACACACAAACACACGTGGAAAATGGGCAAAAGACTTGAACAGACACTTCAGCAAAAAGAATGTAGGGGTGACTTATAATTACAGATAGATAGCAAACACTGTTCATTCACTATTAGGGTAGTACAAATTAAAACCACAATAAGATACTATGCCAGACCAATTAGAATGGCTAAAATAAAAAATAATGCCAATACCAAGTACTGGTGAGGATGTGGGGAAACTAGATGTCTCATGCATTGCAAGTGGGAATGTAAAATTGTACTGTGGTCAAGTAATTCCCATGACAACCTAATATTTGAATCATAAATAATGTCAAGGTGCTTTATATACTTCTCATACTGTCAAAAGTTAAACAAGAAGTGAGATCTCCACTTGAGGTCAGGAGTGTGAGACCAGCCTGGCCAAAATGGCATCTCTACTAAAAATACAAAAGTTAGCTGGTCACGGTGGCGAACACCTGTAATCCTGGCTACATGGGAGACTGAGACAAGAGAATTACTTGAACCCAGGAGGAGGAGGTTGTGGTGAGCCAAGATTGTGCCACTGTACTCCAGCCTGGGCTGGGGGGGGGTTGCGGGGAGGACAGAATGAGACTCCATCTCAAAAAAAGAAAGAGATTTCCATTCTAATACACATTTGTAGTGGATATATTTTTCAAACCAAAATTACAGTTCCAGCAGTGTTTTTTAGACCTCAGTGACATGAAGGAAATTTCCATATTTCTTTTTTTTTTTCTTTTTTGTCCTCTGAGAAGCAATTTGTTTCAGTTCAGGAAATTTCCATATTTCAAGATCCATGTATTTTGGAAATAGTAGCAATGGTTGTATAGTATTGTGAATATAATTAACGCCTCTGAATTCTGTACACTTAAAAATGGCTAAAATGGCAAATTTTATGTTATATATATTTTGCCACATAAAAATAATCCATTTAACTGTAGCATTTAGTAGCTTCCACATGACTTTCAATTGGAAGTGATTAATCTGCCGTGTAATGACCTGATAAAGATAAATGCCAAGAGAAGAATCTAATAGAATTCTATAATGTCTTCCAAGAGATAAAAGGCTCAATTAAAAGCCTTTAATTCATGAATTATATTAATGGATTTAGCTCAGTATTTGGCAGTTCCTATCTTTTTTTTTTTTTTTTTTTTTTGAGGCAGGGTCTTGCTCTGTTGCCCAGGCTAGAGTGCAGTGGCATGATGTTTTTTTTGTTTTGTTTTGTTTTGTTTGAGATGGAGTTTCGCTCTTGTCACCCAGGCTGGAGTGCCATAGCGCTATCTCGGCTCACCGCAACCGCCACCTCCTGGGTTCAAGCAATTCTCCTGCCTCAGCCTCCTGAGTAGCTGGGACTACAGGCGTGAGCTACCATGCCCAGCTAATTTTTTTGTATTTTTAGTAGAGACGGGGTTTCACCATGTTGACCAGGATGGTCTCGATCTCTTGACCTCGTGATCCACCCGCCTGGCATGATCTTAGCTCACTGCAATCTCTGCCTCCCTGGTTCAAGAGATCCTCCCACCTCAGCCTCCAAGTATCTGGGACTACAGGTGTGCACCTCCACGCCCTGCTAATTTTTGTATGGTTAGTAGAGACAGGAATTCACCATGTTGACCAGGCTGGTCTCAGACTCCTGACCTCTGGTGGTCTGTCTGCCTTGGCCTCCCAAAGTGCTGGGATTACAGGAGTGAGCCATTGCACCCAGCCCAGCAGTACCTTCATGAAGACATTTGCGAAAGTAGAATTGTAGAATCTTATTTCAAATCAGCATTCATAGATGAAGATTTGCAATCAATTTTGATGAAAGGGAAAACTATTTTAAACCCAGTTAAAATAATTATAAATAGTTATGGGGGAATAACATTTCAAATATACATTGGGTATCTGCCAAAATGGAATATACGCTGGGCCATAAAGCAAACCTCAACAAATCTCAAAAGTCTGACATCATGTACACATGAAATGTTATTCCCCCCTAAAAGATTTTCATTCTTCTCATCAGGAGATCTGTGTTACAAAAAATTGTACTCAATTATTATAATCTGAGTTGTGTCAACATTTTGTGGAGATTTGTTTTCTCTTGTAATAGGAGTACCTACTTAATATCTTTGATTTTGCCTCTTAGCCCACAAAACTTAAAATATTTACATCTGGCCCTTTTACAGAAAATGTTTGTCAACCCCTAGCTTAAAGCATTGAGTTTCGTCTTTTTTTTCTTTTCTAACACATGCCTTTAAAGAGATGAGAATTTCGCTCTGCTGTTGCAGCTGCGTCCCAGAGATGTTGATGTGGTGCAGTTTTGTTCTGTTGAACGCAGATTGTGTTCTAGTTTCCATTTAATGTATTTCATGTATTTATTTATTTATTTAAAGAGAGTCTCCTTCTGTCTTTATTTATTTATTTATTTATTTAAAGAGAGTCTCCTTCTGTTGCCCAGCCTGGAGTGTAGTGGTGAGATCATAGCTTACTGTAGCCTCAAACTCCTGAGCTCAAGCAATCCTCCCACCTCAAGCCCCCTGGGAAGTTGAGATTATATAGGTACACATTGTCAGGGCTGTTTGATGTCTTCTTTTGCTTACATTACTTAGAAGTATATTGCATAACTTCTGAGCATTTGGAGATTTTAAAAATCTTTGTTACTGAGCTCTAATTAAATTCTAAAGTGGTCAGGGTGCATGTGTACATGATGTTGGTCTTTTGAGATTTGTTGAGGTTTGCTTTATGGCCCAGCATATATTCCATTTTGGCAGATAGCCAATATATATTTGAAGTGGCATTTTACAAATCTTTTGTCTTCTGAAGCTTTGGATATTCAAATGAGGTTGGTCCCTGTAACATTCTGTACATACTCTGTACGAATTCCCGGATTCTACTCACTCAGAGTAGGTGTGCCTGTATTTTTAGTGTATCTTTCTCCTTTCTCAACCCAGTAGTTTTTTTCCTTCTCTTTGTGGTTATATGCAGCTTATAAGTAAGAAAAACCTTTGTAATGTACTTGAATCTCAGCAGTCCTCATTTCATTATTAAGTGCCGTAGTCCCTAACCACTAAATCAAGTGTTGGCCGTATCGTAAGGGCTTCACATGAGAGCGACTGTGTTTCTTGTTGTTGACTCTTGTCATGTATTATTATTCTCTTGAAACTGGTCTGACTGTGTGCTTTGCAGGGCTATGTGCCTTCCTAATACCAAGAAGTTACCCAAAGATACTTAACTGTGCTGTGAACTAAAGCTATCGTGTTTGATCTGCCCAGGCATCCAGCTGACCCTGTATGCAAAATTCTACCCTTTCAGTTCTGTTACTGTTTAAGTTGCCTCTATTCTTTGGTGGGAGAAGAGGTGATGTATAAAAATAGACTGTTTTCTACAAGGCTTGGTGTGTTAGGTGCTAAACCACTTAGCTTTTTCTTGATATGGGGATCTATTCCCCTTGCTTTATTCCTTCTTTTAGAGACAGTCTTGCTCTGCCACCCAGGCTGGGGTGCAGTGGTATGATCATAGCTCACTGCAGCCTCCAACTCGTGGGCTCAAGTGATCCTCCTGCCTCCACTCCTGATTAGCTGGCACTACAGGCATGCATCACCATGCCTGGCTGATTTTTTTACTTTTTGTAGAGATGGTGTGTTGCTATGTTGCTCAGGGCGGCCTCGAACGCCTCTCAATTGATCCTCCTGCCTTGGCCTCCCAGAGTGTCAGGATTGTGGCGTGAGCCACCATGCCCAGCTGAGGTCTGTTTTTTACTGTTTCACAATAGTTGCTGGAAATATTTGTAATAATGTGACTTTCACTGCTAAGACAGAAAAGGAAAACGGGAAAATTGAGGAAAATGAAACTTCTGCTTCTACAACAGAAAAAAAAGTATAAACTTTTGAATTACTTTTAGAGTAAATGGGGATAGGCGTGTTAAGATTCTTGACCTACCCTCTTCTGCTACCGTCAGACTGAGAATGCACTCTTGGATGCACTTTTGTTAATCTAATTTGTGAATATTTATACGCTTTCTAAATTAGTAAGTACATGTAACTTTATGTTTCAGCTCATGAGTGCCTCTGCTGCACACTGCAGGAAGTGCATTCTGGAGCTCTTCAGCTGTGCAGTCAGGATGCGAACTCGCGTTCTGTTCTCCATGCTGCTGATGAGGCAGGGGAGGCATGTATACATCCAGGCTCTTCCTGCTTGGCAGGACTGTTTAACTGGGGCTGATGGAAATTTTTGTCATAGAAAATGGGCAATCAGATTTGTAGTTAGTAGTGAATTAATTGACTCTCAATCCATATTGGAAAACAGAAGTTAAAACATTTGGTAATAAAAACGTAAATTTTAGAAAGTACAACACAAAGAGTGGCCCCTAAGCCGGACATGGTGGCTCACGCCTGTAATCCCAGCACTTTGGGAGGCCAAGGAGGGTGGATCACCTTGAGCTCAGGATTTTGAGACCAGCCTGGCCAACATGGTGATACCTCGTCTCTACTACAAATACAAAAATTAGCCAGGCATGGTGACGCACACCTGTAACGCCAGCTACTTGGAGGCCAAGGCGTAAGAATTGCTTGAACCCAGGAAACTGAGATTACAGTGATCCAAGATCACACCATTGCACTCCTGCCTGGGCAACAGAGCAAGACTCCATCTCAAAAACAAAACAAAACAGGGCCGGGCACAGTGGCTTACACCTATAATCCCAGCACTTTGGGAGGCCAAAGTGGGCCGATCACAAGGTGAGGAGTACAAAACCAGCCTGACGAAGGTGGTGAAACCCCCTCACTACTAAAGCTGGGTGTGGAGACAGGCACCTGTAATCCCAGCTACTCAGGAGGCTGAGGCAGGAGAATCACTTGAACCCCAGGGGTGGAGGTTGCAGTGAGCCGAGATCACGCCACTGCATTCTAGCCTGGGTGAGTGAGACTCCTCTGTCTCAAAAAAAAGCAAAAACAAAGAGTGGACC